AGATTACAAAATTTCAAAAACTGGAATCGTCAGTGTTTGTCTGAAGGCACCTGAAAAAAAAAATCCTTAAAAAAGACACCTAATAAGTAAACGCACACTGCAAGACAATTTGTCTCTTTCCTGAAGGCTGATCCTTATCTTTTGAGGTCAGAAAAACCTGTCTGAAAACTCTTTTCAAAGTCAGGCAGTTTGCATATTAGCATTATGCAAGCAGATTTTACACTGAATTCTGCTAAAGCTAAAAACAGAACTCTTTTCACTTCCCCAGTGGTCTACAGAATTTCTATTATCACAGTTCTATTTCTCTTACTGTGAAATGTAAACATCATTATTCTTGTTGCTATAGCACTTACTATACTACATAGTTAAGAACAGAGATATGCATTTTTTTAAGCCGAGGATTACAGAGCATCTAAAATTCATGTGTACGCTACGGAAGTGTTACCTTTTGAATTCACTCGAAGCAAGAAACCGTGGGCACAGCAAGCCAAATACCTGGCCTTTGCAGGTCCTTGTAAGCATGGTCCATGTAATCTTTCACTTCATAAGATATTCCAGGAGAGAGCCCGCTGTCCTTAGTCCTTTGGAAGCCTAAGAGGGCATAGTCATTCTTCATGGTAATTTCACCTATTTTGGTAAGAGTGACACAGAAGTCAGCAGGCTGTGGCTGTGACTCATGTCTCTGGGTCACCAGCCCCATAGTGCTGCAGCATGCTCTGAACAAGTTTTTAGGCTGTGGTTGTAGTGCTAGATGCTTAGCAAGAAGTAGGGCACAAAAGATGGAAAGAAAGCACTAAGATACTTTGGTGCAGTGCTCTGATCGTGTCTTGGGAAAAAAATAAATATTTTATAGAGAATTAAAGCAAAAGGTATAGTGCAACAGGAGTAGAATGCACCTCGGGAATGACAAAATACAGCAAATGGACACTTGCCTCAAGTGCATGCACAGCTTGGGAATTGCACAGGAGGATCTAAACCTGCCTGAACAGTCACAAAGCCACCAGGAGACAGTGAAGGAACTTAAAATCCTGCTTGACCATGTAAGCATGATATTAGAGAAACTAAAGCTTACCTGAAGTTGATGCTTGTAAAGGACATCAAAGACGACACAAGGAGCTTACACCAAGAGTCTCCACCTCTATGTTAGTAGTAAAAAGCTGAACAAGAAAAATGTGGGCTCATTGCTGAATGGGGCTGATGATCTAGTGATAGCAGATGTGGCTAAGGCCGAGGTTATCATCACCTTCTTTGCCTCAGTCTGTACTAACTGCATCTTTCCCACCCCTGTGCTTAGTGAGCAAGTTCAAGGAGGAAATCTGACAAATAGGAGGATTAAGTCAGGTTTTACTTGGGAGGACTTGACCCATAAGAATCCACGGAACCCAATGGACTTAAGAGGACTGAGAGAACCAGCTACCATCCTTCAAGGCTACTTCCCACCCTTTTTGAAAGGTCTTAGAGTTCCATGAAGGTTTCTGATCATCAAAGAAATGCACAAGTTTCACCCATCTTCAAAAGATGCCATAGGGTCACTGGAAAAATAAAGTGGCATGTCCCCATGGATGGTACTTCTCATCATTTGAAGAAGGAAAACTTGACTGAGTGTTGTCATTAAGGGTAGGTCATGCCTGAGCAACATGGTTCTATAATGGATTTGCAGATAAAGAGACAATAGTCAGTTGTTTCAAAAATTAGAGAAGAAAGCAAATTAAATTTTAAAGTTTTATCATAGCTTTTCACAGGGATGAGGAAAAAAAATCTACGTGGGCTATCCTTCCTTTTTCCATGTGAAGTAAAACTACAGCCTAGCATAGAGGACACAGGCAGGAGAATCATTAAAGAGTTTTCTAAGAAATAAACAAACAAATAAATAAACAGATAACACCATTCCTTCCAACATGTATGTTTTATTTGAGTTTTAGGATTTCAGAGGGCAAATTCAGAAAAATGCTGTTGTGGGTGGAGTTGGACCTCACAGAATCATTGGCCTACCGTCGCTGTCTACAATCACTACCAAACATCTCCGTAGACAGAAAAAAATGCAATGCCATTAGATGATGAAACAGATAACTGGATAGCAAAACTTTGCTCAGAAAAGCAAACTTGGCAAGGAAAGTACCTTTTTGGTAGTGCATGAAAGGCATGCCCAAAAACAAATACTGAACAAGCATACTAGCAGAAACCTGAAAAGTGTCTTTTGGAGAGAGGAAGACTTAGGATGCAACTTGGACTAAGACAGCTTTAATGCTGAGAATAGCAGCAGTGTTTGGCTTAATTTGGGAGCAGTAGAGCACTTAGAAACACACAGCAAACTCTGCAAATGTATAGGAGCTGAGTGAACACTGTATATCAGAAACACTGATCTCTAGTGATTTCAGTTCTCTGCGTGGTTTCAAAATTACTGCACGCTGTGCTCCCTGAAAAAACTCTTCTTTATCAGTGCTGCAAAGTTTTTACCGTTTTATCTTGTCAATAATTGAGTAGGCTATGTTTCCATAGTAATCAACCCATTTAGTTATAAAATGCAAAAGATTTTCTTACACGGATTTTTTTTATTTTATTTATTTATTTGTTTTACTGAAAGCAGGTAATTCAAGTCTTTCCCAGTTTGGGCATGTCTACAGCTTCTCTGTTGAGCAGATGTCCATTTAGTAGACTAGCTATTCTATAAATTGTTCAAGCACGTACATGCAGGTGGGTTTCATTTTGTTTTGGTTTTTTTTTTCAAGACTTACAGAAAAGTAAACCCCACAAAAATCTGTGCCAGCACCTTAAGTCACAACAGTGAAAGCAACTGTGCTGAATCAATGACCTCTCGCAATTTATCTCCTTGCAGCCAGGCTCATAATGCATAATACTACTTATGTAAGGCAAGGAAGCAAAAATAAGCTGTGAAATGCTATCATCTGCCAGTACAAAAACTGGCAAGAGAGATCTTCAGCTTCAGGCCTCTAAAAAGAATGGGATTTTAGCTCCTCAAAACCATTAACTTCTGTGTTACCATTAAGCTGTTTGTATGCACTTGGGCTGTGCTCACAAAGGGATCCTCTGGTTCAGCAACATTTCTATAGCCCATTTCAAATTTGATATTTATTCCAAAAGAAAACTACTTAAATCTTTGTTATTCTCTGCATTATTCTCTGTTAGATTTCTATATCTGTACTTTCTACATACAAAGGTATAGGTGACCCTCTCTACTCTGCCCTCATGAGGCCCCACCTCATGAGTGTGCTGCATCCAGGTCCAGGGTCCCCAGTACAGGAAAGATAAGGAACTGTTGGAGAGGGCCACAGAAATGATTAGAGGGCTAGAGCACCTCCCCTATGAAGGCAGGCTGAGGAAACTGGGCTTGTTCAGCCTACAGAAGGCTGCAAGGAGACTTCATTGCAGCCTTCCAATATTTGTAAGGGGATTATAAAAAGGAGTAGAATCAATTTTTTACAAGGGTAGACAGTGATAGGACAAGGGAGAATGGTTTTAAGCTCAAAAGTGGAAAGCTTTAGATTAGATGTCAGAAGGAAGTTCCTTATAGAAAGAGTGGCAAGGTGCTGGAACAGGCTGCCCTGAGATGCTGTGGACTCTCCATACCCGGAGATGTTCAAGGCCAGGTTTTATGGGGCCCTGGGCAGCCTGGTCTAGTACCAGCTCTGGAGATAGGTGGCTCTCTGCCTGTGGCAGGAGGGCTGGAAGCTGATGATCCTTGAGGTCCCTTCCAACCCAAGCCATTCTATGAATTCTATAATGTGCATATTTACATTAAAATAGAGGGAAAAATAATACAAATAATAACACTCATCCACCCATGAAAACCCTGAGGAAAACTTGCAACATTCAACAAAAGGTAAGAAAATCTGACACCTGGAATGGATTATAATCAGGCTCTATTGCATTACTCAGTCTTTTTAGCATTGCTTATTCACTCCCATTTTATTAATAGCTATTTAAGACACCTGTCTATCAGCTTTCAGACAGACTTCAGAGAACCTCTTTCTCAAGAAGTGAATATGGCCTCTGCTCAGTTATAGAGAAAACCCAGCTTGATGCTTGTTCAGTGGCAGACAAAATACACAAAATATCACAGCAAAGGTTGTGATATGGCACAAAGAAATGATTTAGTTTAAACATCACTCTGCCAGCTTGAATTTCTTCCAGCCATTTAGATGGAATATCTTTGCACTTGCAAAGCTTTACACAGGAGAGTATTGTCTGTTCTCACACAAGACAGCCAAAAAACTCAAATGCAGCATGAACTTTGTACTGCTTGCTCTGCTCATTCAACAGGAATGTGATCACATGCCAAAGCTTGGCCTACCTTCTAAGTAATCAAAGAGTGCACAAATCAGGCACTGAAGATGATTCAAGCAGGACCAAAGACGCAGCCACTACCAGGAGAAAAGCTAGTGCTGGTAAAGAGAACAACTGTTTATGCCTGTGATTATTTTGATAAACAGTCTCAAAATTTCATTACCATGGAAACATCTGTTTTCTACAAATGACTCAGTTACTAATGCACATGCATTGTGTCCTACAGCACCAAGAAGGGACCACATTATAATTAAAAGGAGAAAGATGTTGGATTAGGCAGTCTGTACAATTAAATAATGCCCATCACTGTAATCATAATGAGCACTATGTTGCCTTCATAACACTTTTTAAAAGGAAATGTTACTGCTCCTGTGTGGGTTTTACAGGACATTTTAAAACTGTAGCACATGTTTCTCCTCTGATAGCTAGAGGTCTACAAATTGTGCATAAAATTTTAACTCATCACATACAAAAAGAGGTACATCCCCTCCGATGAACACATACAGAGATATCTACAGAAGAGTTCTTCCGTAATACCAAAAAGAAGCACTTCAAGCCCATAAGTCAAGAAGAGCATCCAGTAAAACTTGGTTATTAATTTCATTCCAGATGGTGTTTACACTTGAATGAACCAGCATAAACAAAAAAAAATCTGAAAATCAGCAAAATAAGAACAAGTACATGCCTCTGCCTATTCTTAACTAATGCCATTACCAAACAAACGTTTACTTCTATTGAAGAAATGTGAAAAAAGGCAGTAAGAGACAAATGTTATTTCTGACTCTTTTACTTTAATGCTCTAAACAGAAGGTGTATCATTTGATCTCAATGCTGCCAACTTCTGGGGACATAGTATTTTCATAAAAGCCATTTGAAATCTCATATGACAAAGTGGGTAAAGAAATGGGTTCAGAGAGGAATTGATCCACAAAAGCCAAAAGGTAATTTCATACAGAATTGGATGGACACATTTTCCTTGGCAGGCTCCACGAATAATCATTAGTAAAGTATATGGGGCCCAGCAAATGGCAAAGACACACACAATTACAGCAAGTGACTTTGCAATCTTCTTGTCTCTTTGCAGTCTTGACCGAGAGTTTGCACGGAAAGATGCAGAGAAGTCCCTTTTGACAGCCACAGGACTTTTTGTTGTTGGAGATGTACAGTTCGATGCCAGTGATGGTCTTGATAGCCTCATTACTGATGAAACACTGTCCTCTGTTTCTGACAAAGAGGATCCTCGCCTCAGCAAAAAACAAAACCTCCAGGACACACTGCTGCTCC